GCAATGAATAGAATAATGATCCTTGATTAAGTCTCTTTACGTTCTTAGAGTAGTCTACTTGCATGCCACATTATATTATAATCAGACTAAAGCTGTATTTTAGGGTAGAATTTTGATAGTATTGATTTTACAGAAATTTCTATCTTTAGTAACCAAGGCAATAATGTTCATCGAAAATGATAAATAGAATTATGTATCTCAGTGTAGTCTACTTGGGTGCCAAGTTATACTGAAATCAGACCAAAACTGTAGGAGGAATAGCATTTTGAAACAATTTCACAGAACTTTCCATTTTTAGTAACCACGGCAACATTATTCACCGAAATCAAAAACCGATATAAAGAATTATGTATCTTAGTGTAATCTACTTGGGTGCCAAGTTATATTGAAATCAGACCAAAACTGCAGGAGGAGTAGCATTTTGAAACAATTTCACAGAAATTTCTATTTTTAGTAACCACGGCAACTACGTTCATTGAAATCAAAAAATGATGTACATAATTATGTATCTTAGTGTAATCTACTTGTGTGCCAAGTTACATTGAAATCTGACCAAAACTGTAGGAGGAGTAGCATTTTGAAACAATTTCACAGAAATTTCTATTTTTAGTAACCACGGCAACACCGTTCATCGAAATCAAAAACCGATATATAGAATTATGTATCTTAGTGTAGTCTACTTGTGTGCCAAGTTATATTGAAATCAGAACACAACTGCAGGAGGAGAAGGATTTTGGAACAATTTCACAGAAATTTTGATTTTAGTAACCAAGGCAACAATGTTCACTAAAATCAAAAACCGATAAAGAAAATTATGTATCTTAGTGTAATCTACTTGTGTGCCAAGTTATATTGAAATCAGACCAAAACTGTAGGTAGAGTAGCATTTTGAAACAATTTCACAGAAATTTCTATTTTTAGTAACCACGACAACACTGTTCAGGGAAATCAAAAACCGATAAACAGATTTATGCATCTTAGTGTAGTCAACTTGTGTGCCAAGTTATATTGAAATCAGACCAAAACTGTAGGAGGAGTAGCATTTTGAAAAATTGTTTACCGACAGACGAACAGCTAGACAGACAGACGCCAGACGCATTACTATTCCATAAGCTCTTCTAGTCTCTGACCAGTAGAGCTAACAAGAGGCTCATAGGCCACATCGCTGACCTGAATAACTTTGGTCATTCTATTCTTTCCCATATTTCTCCTTTGTAATTCCTATTGTGACCACGCCCTATTCCCAGAAATTATATTAATTTGGAGATTATAGAATCTTGACTACCCCTGCATGCTTCCACCCAATTGTCAGCTTTTCTGGCGCAGAGGCTCTTGAGAAGAAGACTTTTCAAAAAAAATTTTTTAATTCTGGGGAATCTCAATTTCTGTTTAATCCATGAGTAGCAAATTATGCGTATTTCTCAGACGGTCTCTATATGCCTTACATTTACATTAAGTGAGCTTGGACAAAGTTTCGCAAAAAATTTGTGTCCGCGTAATAGCATAAATTAATACCACACACAAAAAAGTACTTATACAGTATTTCAGTGTAAAACTTCCCTATTGTGTCCCCTCCCCTCCCCCGGGGTCATGATTTTAACAATTTAAAATCCATTTTATCCCAGGATGCATCCATATAAGTTTCAGCTTTTCTTGCCCAGTGGTTCTTCAGCAGGAGATAATATATATGTTTATAAATGTCTGTCATTGTAAAACTTGGATTCCCTATAGTGACCCCGAACTACCTCCAGGGGTAATGATTTTTACGATTTAGAATTTACACTACCCCAGGATGCTTCCACATAAGTTTTAGCTTTTCTGGTCCAGTAGAAAGATTTTCCCCAAATATTGTGGGTCTGTCCTATGCCCAGAGGTCATGATTTGAACAATATAGAATCTACACTACCCCAGGATGCTTCCATGTAAGTTTCAACTTTTCTGGCCCAGTGGTTTTATAGAATAAGAATTTTTAATGACCCATCTGACAATTTCTACAAGTTCAGAAAAGTAATAATTTAGTAATTTGTATTTAAGTATTTTTATTTGACAAGCAAAAAAGATACAAAATTGGTTGGAAAATTTATAAAATCTGTCATTGTCTTTGTAATGAGTGTAATGAAGTATATACATATGAAATCTGTCAGGTCTTAAGCAGCAAAACATTGTAGCTTAAGACTGTTGTCTGACTGTGTCATAACAATGTACAGCAAAAAAGATCATTGAGAAGGCTTCATGACTAACAACAGAAGAAAATATAATGTCCTCGGTATCTCAAAATAAAGACTGCCCAGTATAGACACACTTTGTCCGTCTCTATGAGTGTACATTCTTATCTGTGTGCCTGTCTTCCCTTTGTCTGTCTGTATGTGTGTACACACTGGTCAATGTGTCAGTCTGTGTTCTCTTCATCTTTTGACTTCTTGGATTCCGTTTTCTGGACGTCCACGACTCTGACCCCATCCCTGTCGATGGCGAAGTCGTAATCAGCTGACGTCTCCAGGCTCGCTAACAATCTCTCCTCTACATTGTCTGGTGTGATGAAACCCACATCCTACCAACAGAAAATAACTAGGCATTAGTCTGGTGTGATGAAACCCACGTCCTACCAACAGAAAATAACTAGGCTTTGGTCTGGTGTGATAAAACCCATGTCCTACCAACAGAAAATAACTAGGCTTTAGTCTGGTGTGATGAAACCCACATCCTACCAACAGAAAATAACTGGGCTTTAGTTTGGTGTGATAAAACCCACGTCCTACCAACAGAAAATAAGTAGGCTTTAGTCTGGTGTGATAAAACCTACGTCCTACCAACAGAAAATAACTAGGCTTTAGTCTGGTGTGATAAAACCCACGTCCTACCAACAGAAAATATCTAGGCTTTAGTCTGGTGTGATAAAACCCACGTCCTACCAACAGAAAATAACTAGGCTTTGGTCTGGTGTGATAAAACCCACGTCCTACCAACAGAAAATAACTAGGCTTTGGTCTGGTGTGATGAAACCCACGTCCTACCAACAGAAAATAACTAGGCTTTAGTCTGGACAGACAAACAATGTCTTGATTCCTTCTACCTGTAACAAGAAATGAATGATGACTTGTTCATACCTTTACCCTCTTCCAGTTGGATGACAGTTTCCTAAGAATTGTTCATTGATTACTTGTTCATACCTTTACCCTCTTCCAGTTGTTTGACAGTTTCCTAAGAATTGTTCATTGATTACTTGTTCATAACTTTTCTCAGTTCAGTTATTTGATTGTTTTCTATGAGAACTGTTCACTGATGACTTGTTCATAACTTTTCTCTGTTCAGTCGTTTGATGGTTGCCTCTGTGAATTTTTCACTGATGACTTGTTCATACCTTTTCTCTGTTCAGTCGTTTGATGGTTTCCTATGTGAACTGTTCACTGATCACTTGTTCATACCTTTTCTCTGTTCAGTCGTTTGATGGTTTGTGGCAACGCACTTTGAAACAAGAGGCCCATGGGCCACATCACTCACCTGAGAAGCTTTGAACATTCTGTTCTTTACCAGATTTCCCCCTTGTAATACATATTGTGACCCCACCCTACCCAACTGATCATAATTTAAACAATTTGAAATCTACACTACCATAGGATGCTTTGATTCAATATTGTAAAAATTGATTAACCATTGTGGCCCCGTCCTACCCCCGGGGGTCATGATTAGAACAATTTAGAATCTACACTATCCCAGGATGCTTCCACATAATTTTCTGGCCCAATGGTTCTTGAGAAGAAGATTTTTCCTATATATTTCTATGTAAAACTTTGACTCCCCATTGTGGCCCCGCCCAACCCCCGGGGATCATGATTTGAACAATTTAGAATCTACACTTCCCCGGGATGCTTCCACATAAGTTTCAGCTTTTCTGGCTCATTGGTTGTTGAGTAGAAGATTTTCAAAGATTTTTCCTATATTTTGCAATTTAAAACTTTGATCCCCCATTATGGCCCCGCCCAACCCCCGGGGGTCATGACTTTAACAATTTAGAATCTACACTACCCCGGGATGCTTCCACATAAGTTTCAGCTTTTCTGGCCCAGTAGTTCTTGAGTAGAAGATTTTCAAAGATTTTCCCCATATATCTTTATGTAAAACTTTGATTCCCCATTGTGGCCCCACCCTACCCCCGGGGGTCATGATTTGAATAATTTAGAATCTGCACTACTTAGGGATGCTTCCACATAAGTTTCAGCTTTTCTGGCTCAGTGGTTCTTGAGAAGAAGATTTTTAAAGATTTTTCCTATATATTTCTTTGTAAAACTTTGATTCCCCATTGTGGCCCCGTCCAACCCCCGGGGGTCATGATTTTAACAATTTAGAATCTACACTACCCCGGGATGCTTCCACATAAGTTTCAGCTTTTCTGGCCCAGTGGTTCTTGAGAAGAAAATGTTTAAAGATTTTTCCTATATATTTCTATGTAAAAATTTGATTCCCCATTGGGGCCCCGCCCTATCCCCGGGGGTCATGATTTTTACAACTTATAATCTACACTACCCAAGAATGCTTCCATATAAGTTTCAGCTTTCCTGGCCCAGTGGTTCTTGAGAAGAAGATTTTTAAAGATTTTTCCTATATATTGCTATGTAAAACTTTGATTCCCCATTGTGGCCCCGCCCTATCCCCGGGGGTCATGATTTTAACAATTTAGCATCTACACTACCTAAGGATGCTTCCACATAAGTTTCAGCTTTTCTGGCCCAGTGGCTCTTGAGCAGAAGATTTTTAAAGATTTTTCCTATATATTGCTATGTAAAACTTTGATTCCCCACTGTGGCCCCGCCCTACCACCGGGGGTCATGATTTTAACAATTTAGAATCTGCACTACCAAAGGATGCTTCCATATAAGTTTCAGCTTTCCTGGCCCAGTGGTTCTTGAGAAGAAGATTTTTAAAGATTTTTCCTATATATTGCTATGTAAAACTTTGATTCCCCATTGTGGCCCCGCCCTATCCTTGGGGGTCATGATTTTAACAATTTAGAATCTGCACTACCTAAGGATGCTTCCATATAAGTTTCAGCTTTTCTGGACCAGTGGTTCTTGAGAAGAAGATTTTTAAAGATTTTTCCTATATATTTCTATGTAAAACTTTGATTCCCCATTGTGGCCCCGCTCTATCCCCGGGGGTCATGATTTTAACAATTTAGAATCTACACTACCCCAGGATGTTTCCACATAAGTTTCAGCTTTTCTGGCTCATTGGTTCTTGAGAAGAAGATTTTTTAATGACCCCACTCTTTTTTTGTCTTTTCTTGATTATCTCCCCTTGTGAGGGGACTTGGCCCTTCATTTTCATAATTTAAATTCCCCTTCACCCAAGGATGCTTTGTAGCAAGTTTGGTCAAAATTGGCCCAGTGGTTCTTGAGAAGAAGTCGAAAATGTGAAAAGTTTACAGACGGACAGACAGCTAGACAGACGGACGGACGGACGACGGACAAAATGTGATCAGAAAAGCTCACTTGAGCCTTCAGCTCAGGTGAGCTAAAAATTACGCACTTTGAAAAATTTTTTCAATGTGCGTTAAAATTGGGACAAAATCAACGCACTTTGAAAAATTTTTTCAAAGTGCGTTTAATTTGGGACCAACTCAACGCACTTTGAAAAAATTTTTCAAAGTGCGTTAAGAGTCTACATCAATATATTTTACCATGGAGACACTTAACGCACTTTGAAAAAAATCATATTCTAGTAATGGAAAGATTTTATTTGTTATTTATTTTTCAAAAAACTAACCCTTACCCTAACCTTAAAAAAGAATTGATTTACTCCCGTCGAAAAGAGGAGAAGACGGGTATAAGATCCCTAGCCTCAGTCCAAATCTTTATCTTTCCAATACATAGGTGTCGGTGACAAACGGGGGAGGCGAGCAATAAACCCAAAAGGGGTAATCTGCATTTTCAATGCTTACACGATGTATATATCATTCAAAAATAAGTGGGGGCCTAGCCCTCCCCCCTCCCCTGGCCCTTCACCTGGTCTCGATGTCGATGCTATATACTCAAAACATTCATATAATTATGTATTTACCTAACTGGTATGACGTTGAAAACTTTCAATATTAAATGAGTTAATTGAAATAGATGAAAACTAGAAATTTTTAAGTACAGTAAAACATATGAGAGAGAAAGAATTTTCATAGTTTTGAACAATCAAACTGCCCCCTTTTTATTATATATGATAAATGCTAAGTTGCTTCAAGCTGTCCACTGTTAGTGCCCCCTTTACATCTTTACATCTATTTATCAAAGACTACAGAATTTAAAAAAAAACGAATTAATGATCTTAAACAATCGTCACTCTTTTTTTAAGACCTCTTTCCCTTTTATTTTATCAAAACCTCAAATATCTAAAACGTCAATATCTCAGGTCCTGAAGTGACTTTATCATAAAAAGTTTTCCAACCGGGATCTGTTATTTATCATACCGATTATTTTCTAGGAATATTGATCAATCTTTACATTTTTTTTTCAAAGTGCATTAATATGGTCGATATTAACGCACTTTGAAATAAAAATTAATTTTTTCAAAGTGCGTAAGCTTGGTCCCAAATTTAACGCACTTTGAAAATTTTTTTCAAAGTGCGTAATTTTTCAAAGTGCGTTGTAACAATGGTTTCCTCTGTGAACTTTTCACTGATCACTTGTTCATACCTTTTCTCTGTTCAGTCATTTGATGGTTAACTCTGTGAACTGTTCACTGATTACTTGTTCATACCTTTTCTCTGTTCAGTCTTTTGATGGTTTCCTCTGTGAACTGTTCACTGATGACCTGTTCCTGTCCTAATATCCCCAGTAACCTCCCTTCTTTCTCTTGATATCTTTTTTCCTCAGCTGCTTCCCTACAACCAAAACAAACTTCCCAGTCTACATCAAAATATGGCATTGTGTCAAACATGTATTTACTGTATCCAGGGTTATTTTCGCCCCATGTTATTTTTGCCCTTTTGAACAATTTTGCCCCGTTTTAAATTCACCCATGCAGTCATAGTTCTGTTTAAGAAATTATGAGGTGTAATTTGAATTCGCCCCGTTTTAAATTTGCCCAATTAAGGAGAGGGCGAAAGAAGCAAAATAAAATGAGGGCGAAAATTTTCTTGTACACAGTATATGAAATATTTAGTTAGTAGAATCTGGTTGATCAAGAGATGTTTGTAAAACAAATCATTCCTGTCTGAAACCAGAATCTCAACAGTGACATCACTGAACAGATATCATGTTGTCTTGATTTCTTGTTTTTAACAAATTTAATTAAATGTATAGATTTATCATATGTATGAAATGATACAGATAATGAATGCGATACTGTAGACGTACTTTTTTCCGCGGAGACATAATTCCGCGGAATCACAATTTCTGTTTAATCCACGGGTTGAAAATTATGCGGATTTCTTAAACTGTCCCTATATGCCTTACATAGATATTACTGTAGATCACTAAATTTTCGCGACACCTTATTTTCGCGAGATTGTCATTGACTCTTTGTAAGCGAGACATAATTTTCACGAATAGTTGTTATTCCTCTATATAATCGTGAGGAATACTTTTATACGGGAGAACATAATTTTCGCGAATGCACTGTCTCGCGTAATTACGCGAAAATAAATTTCTCGCGAATAAAAAGTGATTTACAGTAAGTACACTTGGACATTTCCGTGGAAAATTTGTGACCGCGTACATAGCGTAAATTAATACCATGGGAACAAGAGGCCCATGGGCCACATCGCTCACCTGAGTAACTTAGGTGATGCAGATCTTTTTAATGATTTTAACAATTTAATATTTACACTACCAAATGATGCTCCCACATTAGTTTCAGCTTTCCTGGCCAAGTGGTTTTTGAGAAAAAGATTTTCAAAGATTTGTTCTATATATTTCTATGTAAAACTTGGATTCCCTATTGTGGCCCCGCCTTAACCTCGGGGGTTATGATTTTAACAATTTAATATCTACACTACCCAAGGATGCTTCCACATAAGTTTCAGCTTTCCTGGCCCAGTGGTTCTTGAGAAGAAGATTTTTAAAGATTTGTTCTATATATTTCTATGTAAAACTTGGATTCCCTATTGTGGCCCCGCCCTACCCCCGGGGGTCATGATTTTAACAATTTAATATCTACACTACCCAAGGATGCTTCCACTTAAGTTTCAGCTTTCCTGGCCAAGTGGTTCTTGAGAAGAAGATTTTTAAATGATTTGTTTTATATATTTCTATGTAAAACTTTGATTCCCTATTGTGGCCCCGCCCTACCCCCGGGGGTCATGATTTTAAGAATTTAATATCTACACTACCCAAGGATGCTCCCACATAAGTTTCAGCTTTCCTGGCCCAGTGGTTCTTGAAAAGAAGATTTTAAAGATTTATTCTATATATTTCTAGGTTAAACTTGGATTCCCAATTGTGGCCCCGCCCTACCCCCGGGGGTCATGATTTTTACAATTTAATATCTACACTACCCAAGGATGCTTCCACATAAGTTTCAGCTTTCCTGGCCCAGTGGTTCTTGAGAAGAAGATTTTTAAAGATTTGTTCTATATATTTCTATGTAAAACTTGGATTCCCTATTGTGGCCCCGCCCTACCCCTGGGGGTCATGATTTTAACAATTTAATATCTACACTACCCAAGGATGCTTCCACATATTATGAAACTTAAAGTTTCAGCTTTCCTGGCCCAGTGGTTCTTGAGAAGAAGATTTTTAAAGATTTGTTCTATATATTTCTATGTAAAACTTGGATTCCCTATTGTGGCCCCGCCCTACCCCCGGGGGTCATGATTTTAACAATTTTATATTCACACTACCCAAGGATGCTTCCACTAAAATTTCAGCTTTCCTGGCCCAGTGGTTCTTGAGAAGAAGATTTTTAAAAGATTTGTTCTATTTATTTCTATGTAAAATTTGGATTCCCTATTGTGGCCCCGCCCTACCCCCGGGGGTCATGATTTTTACAATTCAATATCTACACTACCCAAGGATGCTCCCACATAAGTTTCAGCTTTCCTGGCCCAGTGGTTCTTGAGAAGAAGATTTTTAAAGATTTATTCTATATATTTCTAGGTTAAACTTGGATTCCATATTGTGGCCCCGCCCTACCCCTTGGGGTCATGATTTTTACAATTTAAAATCGGCACTACCCCAGGATGATTCCACATAAGTTTCAGCTTTTCTGGCCAAGTGGTTCTTGAGAAGAAGATTTTTAAAGATTTGTTCTATATATTTCTATGTAAAACTTGGATTCCCTATTGTGGCCCCGCCCTACCCCCGGGGGTCATGATTTTAACAATTTAATATCTACACTACCCCAGGATGCTTCCACATAAATTTCAGCCTTTCTGGCCCAGTGGTTCTTGAGAAGAAGATTTTTTAATGACCCCACCCTATTTTCGTATTTTCTTGATTATCTCCCCTTGGAAGGGGTCTTGGCCCTTGATTTTAACAATTTAAATTCCCCTTCACCCAAGGATGCTTTGTACCAAGTTTGGTCAAAATTGGCCCAGTGGTTCTTGAGAAGAAGTTGAAAATGTGAAAAGTTTACAGACGGACGGACGGACGGACGGACGGACGACGGACACCGGGTGATCAGAAAAGCTCACTTGAGCTTTCAGCTCAGGTGAGCTAAAAAAGTACTTCTACAGTATATATAATGATACTTTATCAATTAATGATTGGTTTTTATTCCTATTTATTCCATTTATCTCTAAACTCTCCACTACATGACTTTGACAACCTTCCTTAGAATGGCTTCATGACTTTTATGACTTACCTTACAACCGCTACATAACTTTTATGACTTACCTTAGAACCGCTACATAACTTTTCTGACTTACCTTAGAATCACTACACGCCTGTTGTAATGACGTTTTATGACTTACCTGAGAACCGCTACACGACTGTTACAGACCCTCATTCTCTCCTGCATCTCCTGCCAGCTCACTTCAGCTATCTTATACTTGTCATGGTTAGGGTTATAATCATTATGGCTACATGACTATTGTAATGACGTTTTATGACATATAACCTTAGACTACTCGACTGTTGTAATGACGTTTTATGACTTACCTTAGAACCGCTACACGACTGTTGTAATTATGTTTTATGACTTACCTGAGAACGGCTATACGCCTGTTGTAATGATGATTTATGACTTACCTGAGAACGGCTACACGCCTGTTGTAATGATGTTTTATGACTTACCTGAGAACCGCTACACGCCTGTTGTAATGACGTTTTATGACTTACCTGAGAACTGCTACACGACTGTTCCAGACCTTCATTCTCTCCTGCATCTCCTGCCAGCTGGCTTCAGCTATCTTATACTTGTCAGCTTTCACCTTCACTGGATTGGGTAAACTCTGGTCTGGTACTAGTTTTATCAGTTGCCTAAAAAGATATGAATCATTTTATGAAAACAGTTAACATTTGTATTCAATGGATTATCTTACAGTTTTGTTATTTTGTTATAAGAGGTCTTTGGTGATAGAATTGACTAATTCAATCTGACGTTTATACTGTAGATTGGGAAATAATCACGATGGTTTTAATTTCGCTATGTTCGCAATTTATTATTTTTCCGCGAAAATAAACCCAATGTGAATGCTATCATTAACTATTAAAACATTTAAATTGTAAGAAATTTTCCTACAGCATGAAATTAAATCATCACGATTGGAACTTTTTGAGAAATTGTGCCAGGAATATTAACACTGTGGAATTAAAACAACTTACTTAAGGAATCACTGTCTAGTTAGGAGGGTATGTCAGGGCATCAACAATAGTGGGAAACATGGGATAATTTGCATAACGGGCGAAGCCCGTTATGCTTAAATTATCCCATGTTTCCCACTATTGTTGATGTCCCTGACATACCCTCTAACTAGACAGTGATTCCTTATATTTCCATTTCATTGTGAAATAAAATTGTAGATTTAGACTTTAAAAATGTAGATAAATAGATTTAAATCACATGATGACTTCCATGCCAATTTCAATAGTCCTCGCCAACCGACGTCAAACACAAAGGCAGCCGCACGAGATTTACATGCATATTTGGCCTCCTTAGCGTCAGACACAGAGACAGATGCGCACGAGAATTGCATGCGTATTAGGCCTCCTTAGCTCCCGACCTATCGACCTGCCTAATTTACATTTTGGCAGAATTATCAAGAAATAAACTACCCCTAACTTTCAAAGAGTTATCACAGAGAAAAAAATTAGAAATGGAAATATATGCAAATATAATCTCTAATAACTTTTTTTTTTATTTTTTAAGGAATCACTATCGTTGATGTCCATGGCATACTATACTAACTTGACAGTGATTTCTTATATTTCCATTTCATTGTGAAATAAAATTGTAGATTTAGACTTTAAAAACGTAGAGATTGATTTAAATTACACGAGGAATCCCATGCTAATTTCAAAAGATCCTTGCCCACTGACGTCAAAAACAAAAACAACGGCACAAGATTTGCATGCATATTTGGCCTTCTTAGCGTAACACACAGAGACAGATGCGCACGAGATTTGCAAGCATATTAGGCCTCTTTAGATGCTGACCTATCGATCTGCCTAATTTACATTCCGGTAAAATTATCAAGAAATTAACCCCGTTAACTTTCAAAAAGTTATCACAGAGGAAAAAATTAGAAATGGAAATATAGTATTATGTAGGCATTCCAATCACTGTGATTTAGTTAAGTAGCCCGAATTAACTATATTTTATCCCATGTTTATCCCTTTAGCCAAGGGATGTGACTTATTGGGTATTTCTATATATAAACAGTGTAAAACATTGGTTGTGAAGTATTAAACGTGTGATAAAAAAAATCTCCCATGATTTGTAGTTGCCTGTTGGATACGATTTTTAACCAGCTTGTTGTGTGTAATTTTATCCCCTCACCAAGGCCTGGTGATAAAAAGTCATATCCAACTACAAGTCATGGGAGATTGGATGTATAGCAGACAGTATATAGCCAATGTATAGGGAATTTATACTGCTTCACTAGAGAGATAGCTTTTCTAGTGATGCAGTCGAGTCTCCCTCTTTTTCAGTCAAATTATGCTAAGAAATGGTGAGCCTGTTTAACCCTTGAATGGGTGACCACTTCATGTTACAATATGCATGTAGGATTCATTTACATTCATAACAAGTTACTTGCTTTAGATTAAGGTACTCCCAATGTAATTTGTAAATTACAGAAAAAAAGATTGCCTATGTAAATGATGTATATCCCTCTATACTAGACTATAGTATTGTAAAAGGAAAGGAGAGAAATGTGATGGACCAGAACAGGATTCAAACCCGGGTCCTCTGAATCTCCAGTCAGATGCTCTACCGACTGAACCATCTGGCTACCGGTGATCGAACCAGTCAGATGCTCTACCGACTGAACCATCTGGCTACCGGTGATCGAACCAGTCAGATGCTCTACCGACTGAACCATCTGGCTACCGGTGATTGAAAAGGTCTGATTGCCACAATATAAAATCGCTATCAATTATTTTCCTTTGGAATTATACATTCAATCCGATTGTTTTAGATCATGTCACATGAGGTAAGACAATTCGTGATGTCTCCCTCATGTGCAACTGTTGTTGCCCTTCAGATGACAATAAAATAGTGTGTGTTGTCGCCCTTTGAATAAAGTTACACGGGTTTAACAGGTCGGAGAGAATACTCTAAATCAGGTATTATCCGTGAAATCGCGTATAATACCCGATATTAGGGTATCGTTGAATCCACAAAATCGGGTATTCCGTGCAACTTTCTATAAAAACTAAAGAATAAAGCAACGGCGCATTATGCCAGTTACTGTTATTTGTACACCAGTATCTTATGGATTTATTTTTACTAAACCTTATTTATATGGTTGTCAAATAAGTTTAAAATCACACGACAAACACTGCTGGGGTAACAAAGAGGACACAATGGTGTTATTTTTTTTCAATATAATTTCTAAAAACAAATAACTATACTTCGTTTGTCTTTATTTCCCATTAAAGTATTCCATGTACTTAATTTTCTAAGTTGTGCACTATTCACAAAATGTGAAACGAAATTGAACGACTAACGCTGTGTTAAGTATTTTTACTGAAAAATGTATGGCGTCCCTTTCACATGAAATATAAATTATTCCTAATAGTTAGAGAGTACAGTATAAGCGAGTCATAATTGTATATCTCTGCCATGATATAATACCAACGTTATTATAAAGAAGAAAATAAAATAAGATTAAATAAATACCCATGGGAATACAGGTTGAAAATAGCTAATTGAAGGTGAGTATCCTTTTTTATGTCAATTTAGCATGGAAATTTTTATTCAAAGACACCGTAAATTTTTTGGTTGCATTTTAATCGATACAAGATATGCTATTTTACCTTTATTTTATGCAATTGTGTGAAAATTGAGAGCAAGAAATCATGTGAAATAAAAGTCAAATGTGTACATCTTTTCACGAGCTTATAATACATTGAATTTCTTCATATAGATCGAGGTACAGTCATATTCAAATATGAATTACATAGTTAAGTTTTCACATTTCTTATAGTTTTTACGTTCATGAACATGTTAATGAACAAACTGAAATGATGGAGTGTTCAACTGCTCCTTGGAAACTCTTGTCTTACTTTTTGGGAATATAATTCCTCATCGAACATTAAAATTTCTTAAAATTGTAGCCACTTCCTTTCTTTACTATACTATTTGATAGACAGGGTAGATTTTACCTTTTGTTGTCTATTTATTTTATATAGCTGTCTCAAAACCTCATTATAATATAATATACAACGCACTATCTGAATGGTTCTAGACAATCACTATGTCACTGTGATACTTATTACTCATGGCAATAACTTTTCATAATACTCATCTATAATGAAAAAATGTGTTAAAAAATAAACATGAATTTTAGTTACTTGTATTACATGTAGTATCATATTGTATGAGAAAAAAAACAGGTTGCTTTTTGTTTACCTGTATAATTTTTATTTGATGAATAAATCTTCCATACAATTAAAAATATATACATGTAACCGAGTTTAACCGACCATGATATTCAAAGACATAAAGCAAAAAACTTTGCATTAACATTTAATTCAATGATTACGAAAGGAGGGGTCTCTTGGACACATGCAGAACACAGTCAAGGTTGTTTTGTCAGAGGTGGTCAAGAAGCCTTTAGCCCCCCCCCCCCCCATTTTTTGAAGTCGCCAAGAAATGGTAAAATATGGATGACTTAGCGAAATTAAATGATCAACAGTTCTGTTCTCTAAGCTGTATTCCTGAAACTATCACTGTCTCTGCTAAAATGTTGAAGACATATTCTGCAGATATGTATGAATGATAAAAAAGAAAGAGAAAGAGGGTTTTTTTAGCCAAAATTTTAGACATTTTTATCTCTTACATTATTTATACATTCATAAATAAATTTGATTTTATGCACAAGATGAATATTAGGGTAATTAATGACGCATAATTAGATACGATAGACAATCCCTTGTTTATACATGGCATTATATCTTGTGTGTGAAATATGTTTCCGTATAATTTGATTTATTATCAAATTGTTCATGTTTGTCGTGTTGATGTGGAATTATTTTAAATTCCCGAATTCTGATACGTTACAATTCTGTTGTGTTGGGAATGAACATGAGGAAGATGCATATACTTTCAACATTAGGCCATATAAAATTAATCTTTAGATTCTCATCCCCGCCCGCCCCTCTCAAAATGTCCCGCCCCGATGTTTTTTATTTTGATATTTGGGTATTTTCATGTATTTTTATTCAGTAAGAATTTGGGTCAAAGTTTAAGAGTTATCTCCCGTCTGTATTAAAAGTCGCGTGTCGCTATTTATAGCAAAAACACCATGTGAAGAATGGAGAAAAATCGGCAATATAAGCAGTTTAAATGTGTAAGGAAAAGATAATTTGTCAGTATAGAGAAGGCAGAGAAAAAAAAATAGCATAAACACATATAGAATCAAGATACAATCACTGACAGGAGCAAGTATGTAGAGAGATTGTAACTAAGTAAAAATAGACGAGGAAAATGACACCTGGTCAAGTTATATATAACGATCTCCAGCTGTGTGACTTAGCTTTGAAATAAAAAAAAATCTACAATATCGTAGACAGACTTAAGAGAAGGCCTAGATTTTTCAGTAGAATAATTATTAAAACATTTATATAGATTTTGCAAAATAAGAAGTCACGCATACACAATTTATTGGTATCCCCACCTCATTTTGTTCAGGGTGTGCCGTATAATGTGTACTTGATAATTTGTTAATTAACAATAAACATTTAACTTTTAAAGCAAAAATTTTCTTTAAATATTTAAAAGAATATGAAAAGAATTAAATCTATTCATATTTGCATTAAG